GTAATTATGTGGGGTATTTTTGAGCAAATGATTAGCTGAGAGAAGACAGAATCACAGTAGTACTTCGAACCAAGAAAGCAACAGGACCAGGGGAGCAAATGGGCAAACGTGCAAAATCAGGATGATGAATGTGGCTTTTGTAAGACCAAAGACAACCATAAGTGACTGGGCTTCCTTATGTCCTCTGTTAAGCACAGACCGATTGTACTAACTGATGGTTTTCTATTCTTTCTTCTTTTTCAGCTCCTTTGTTTCACAGCATAATGACATATCTGAGCTTTTGCCAGTGTGATATGTTTGCCTTATAGCTTGAGTAGGTCATATTTGAATTATATTCATCACCACATCCATTTTTCCTTTAAAACAATCTAATTCTTGGGCTAGAATTCTCCACAGAGCAGTATTAGCTCCCCCTGGTGACTGACTAAAAGCGTGGAAGAGGATGACAGGGTGATGAGCCTCATGACCCCCATCCTCGTGTGTCTAATTAATGCGAGGATGCACACGCAGTGGGAAGACTCACATACAGACTTCACTTGGTCTTAAGCAGTGTCCATTTTCACATCAGTTTTTTTACACAGTGGCTTTCTTGGAGTCATGCCTATTTTGAAGACCCTTCAAAGTGCTTGGCTTTCTGGTATGAGAGACATTGAAACAGGGCAAACTGGGAACTGATTACAGAAGCAGAAAATAAAAGTAAGAGCAGTGACTGGCCTGTGTATTATTCTTGCAAAATAGACTTTCTACAGAATGTGTATTCATTGTTATAATTATTTAAAAGAAATATGCTTTTAGAAAAAGCACTATTCAAACATTAAGATTTTTATTTTTGGTTGTATACAAAGAAATTTTTCATTTAATTTATGAATTATTTAAAATGTATATTTTTATTACTCAGATTGTCTTTAAAGTTAAATTTTTATAGTCTTAATTTGTAAAAATGTTCCCCATCATAACTAAATTATCAGGCTGACAAACTCTTGGGAATGCTTTTGTAGTCATTTAAAAAAGAATCTGTTAACTCTACAAATTGTTTTTATACTTAATGCTATTTTCTATGCAAACTATTTTCTTTTTAACCACTACTTGATACTGGTTATCTAAAAGCTATGCATTGTGGCTATATACACCGGTTTAATATCATACATTAAATATTCTTTATTATCATGCCTTCAAGGGGAACATTTAAAAAAATTTTAAGGGTAGATATTTAAACATTTTTCTCTTCTTCTCTCTCTTCTGAATATTTTTTCCCTATAATTTTACACTCCACCCACCATTTTCTTTCTTTCTTTCCCAGGACCTTATTTTCAACCCTATCCTTTTGGTTTGGTCTTTCAGTTTGATTTTCCATTGAAGTATCTCTTGCACTGGGAGAAAACTGATAGCCTTCTAGTCTCAGTCATGTCTTACCTTCACTTCTTCATCTTCTGAAAACCAAAGTGGAACCTCTTCTGGAGGTGATGCTGTTTTGTCACTTTGTCTAAAGTGATGGTTAGTAAGCATGGCAGAAGAACAGGGCACCTGGCTTCATTCCAGCCTCCTTCCATGACTCGTAGCTTCTTTCCTCAAGCAAACTGCTTGCTCTTTGCAGTTCATGTGTCCCACTACCTACCCAAGCAGCGAAAAACCACTCTGCCTTCATTTTCATTAGTGGCTACTCTCGACTGCAGTGTAAGTTGGTGCCTAACAGCTAAATGGTGATAGCTTTCTTCTTGTGGCCACCGGTTTAAAGCAGACAAATGTTGATATGACTGTTCTTACATTGATTAGGTGCTGAAGAATAGCTTAGTATCATGTGAAGTATACAATACCATATCTGCTGTACTAAGAAGGTTCCCCACAGCCAGGGAACAGCACTTCCCAGGAGCAGATGTCCCCATATCCCACTATGCACTCATCAGAAATCTTGTACAATAAATATGTATCAAGAGTCTATTCTTTGTCTAGTGCTTTGGTTTGAATCTTGAATGCTACCCAAGGGCTCATGTGTTAAAGACTTTGTCTCTAGGGCGGCTTTCTTGGGAAGTGGGAGAGCTTTGAGAGGTGGAGGCTAATGGGGGATCTTTAGGTTGTTGGAGGTGTGGCTTTGAAGGGGATTATGAGACTCACACCCCTCGTCACTTTGTTGCTTCCTGGCCATGAAATGAACAGTTTCACCTATCATGCACTTTCTCCCATTACCAATTGGCATCCCCCTCCCATTCCCCTGAGACAGGAGATTAGGGTGTGGCCAAGAGCCTGGGCAAGTGGTCAGCTGACTTGTCACAAAGATGTGGGACACATGGGTTCAAGCTCTGCACCTGAGACCAATCAGAAAATGCTATCCTTAGGGCTGGCCAAATAGCTCAGTGGATTAAAGTGCCTGCAAGCAGGCGCAGGGGTCTGGGGTTCAATCTCTGGGCCTGCTGTGCTGGCCTCACCCCCAGCGCACGCTGAAAGGCAATTGAGACTGGGCATGGTGGCATGCCCCGCCTGTAATCCCAGCTCTTGGGAGGCTATAAACAGGTGGATCACTATGAGTCCCATATTGTAGTGAGACCCTGAACACCCTGTAGACCCATTCCTAAAATAAAAAAAAAAAAAAAAAAAAAAAAAAAAAAAAAAAAATGCTATCTTCAGTTGTTCTAGTGTGAGATAGATCAGGCAGGTATTTGATTGGATTGCCTAGATCTGATGTCTGCCTGAGGAATGGGAGATACAAAAATGGCAGCCGTTAACCTTGTGGCTACTGTGCTCTCTCTCTTTCAGTGGCCTAGTCTTACCCTGTATGTTTATTTCTTTTCTTACATTGAATTAGCCCACACTCACTCTGCAGAACTTACTTCTTTTCCTACCTTTAATAAGTGTAAAAATTCTTTACCTTTTGCACATTTCTTGTCCAATTCCTTGTTTAGGACAATAAGAACCTGGACAGAATCTCTAAAAGGAGTCCACAGCACCCCAATAACACCCCAGAGCATAACAGCAGTGGATCTGACAGATCCTGGAACCTTGATGATCATGAGCCAAATAAACCTCCTTATAAGTTGCTTATCTCAAGCATTCTGCTGTATTAATGAAAAGCTGAAGAACATATCCAATAAGTTCTGAGAATACAGGGCTCTGGGCTTAGCATTTTCTGGCCTGAAAATGTTGGGAAGGGGTCCCTGAGCTTCAGAGAGGGCTTCCTGGAGCACCTGGTGCCTTTAGTAATCAGGGTGAAGACAGAGAGGCATTTCAGGCTGATAGGCAAGACAAAAGGTAAAAAGAAGCACAGGACCAGCTGGGCACCTCCTGGCTGGTGGAAGAGTTGTAGGACAAGTGAATAGGCACATATTGTCTATTCACTTGCTGTGTAAGGATGATGCCATGTCTTTTTCTTAAAAAATGTATTTGGTTGCTGCAGGGCCTCACTACGCAGTGTGGGCTCATGGTGATCCTCCTACTTTCAGCCTCTGCAGCCCTGAGATTACAGATATGTGCCACTATGCCCAGACTCTGGCCTGCTCAGCTGGCCCTGGGGCGGGGCTACTGCGGCAAGTGGCGCCAGGGTCGAACCTTGGTCCCTGCACTTGCCTAAGCAGGCTCTTTAGTCCGCTGTGCTATCTCGCCAGCCCCCACATGCCTCACCTTTTTGACATAAGCTCTTATATCTTGCTAGTGAGATAACGGAGCCAATACCAGTACATAGTCAAAGGGTTGGAGAAGAGAGCCAGACAGCCAGTTTGGAGGTAAAATCTTCAAAGTGTAGGTTGAATTCATTTTGAGGCATGCGACACAGTGAAAGGATCACCTAGGGCCAATCCCAGGTCTCTGACTCCTTAGGTAAGCCGGTCTACATACATCAGGAGTGAGAAAGAAGCAGATGTGCCAGTGAGGATGGTGCCTTCTTTTTCCTGTATGTAAAATTTGAGATACTTTTCTGGCTAGTGTTGTTTAAAGAAGCACTTGTGTCTTTAGGCCAGGACCCACAATAGAGTTTAGCCCACTTAGTGTATGAGAGTGTCATCTTTTCTTGAATTGTGATTCTGTTTTCCCTTTGTGAATTCTCTAAGCTTTTTTCTCCACCTTATTCTCATTTTTGTAACCTGATTCCGATCAAGCGTTTTTGTTTTTTAAATGAAAAATTGCCTTTACCCAGGTTGGTTATTACTTAAAGTTTCATTCCAGACACAAGGTCCTTTGTAGCTTGGGTTGTTACAGCAAGTGGAAATGACATTCCACAGTCCCAGTCTTTTCTGTAAAAGCTAGATATATGAAGTATGAAGGCTGGCTGGTGCTCTTGTCTTTCATGGTGGGAACTTTGACATATAATGTTTAATGCTTCATTGAAACCCAGCAAACAGATGCTAAGAAGGGTGTTTTACTTTCAGAGGATTGATTAGAACAGTGATTTTTTTTTTTTTCTGGAAAAAATGTACTACTGTCCATCTCTATGAGAAATTGTATTATAAAGGAAGTATTAGTTATGTTCACCAGCTGCCATTCCCCTCAAGAAATTGCCAGGCAGTTTTGATTTTGCTGTTCATTGCTTGGAATCTGTAACCATCTTGTGAATCTTCACAGGCTGCTTTTATGGCTGATCTTCAGACCTGCATTTTCTCATCATCTCCCTTCGTATTATTTTCATTAAAAATTCCATTAGCTTAAAAAAAATCAATGTAATCATTCAGTAGTAATTAATTCTTACCAGTTTGCTGAAGGAGAAATGAATTAACAAAACTTTGAAGTGTTAAAATGGGTAAAAAGTGTGTGGTTAATGGAACTAGGAAAGACAAGTATAATGGATGAAGGGGTGGGCTCTGGCAACCGGCCCACGTCAGTGCGAATTTCAGATGTGGCTGGGTGGGGTTGGGCAGATGATTTAGGGATTCTGTCAGCAGCTCGTCCACTTTGGGGTGCTGGATGAGGGCAAGATGAAGCTGGATTACATCCTAGGCCTAAAAATTGAGGACTTTCTGGAGAGGCTCCTGCAGACTCAGGTCTTCAAGCTGGGCCTGGCCAAGTCCATCCCCAAGGCTCATCCGCCAGCGCCACATCAGGGTCCGCAAGCAGGTGGTGAACATTCTGTCCTTCACTGTGCGCCTGGACTCCCAGAAGCACATTGACTTCTCCCTGTGCTCCCCACGTGGGGGAGGCGGCCCAGGCCCTGTGAAGAGGAAGAATGCAAAGAAAGGCCAGGGCGGGGCTGGAGCCAGGATGACGAGGAGAAGGATTAAGCCCACCCTTTCATTTCTGTCCAAGGATTTAGTTTTCTAGTTACAGAATAAACCAGGATGAAGAAAAAAAATTTTCCTCATCTGTAAGTTTCGGATGTTAACACATCCGAAAATGTGTTAAAATTGCCTAGCCCATTGACTAAATGAGATTTTATGTGGATGAGCCTAGTAAGGTGCTTGGCACGTAGTGCAGGCACATGATAAACATGTGTTACTAGTAGTATGACTGGATTAAAGATGATGAAGATTCTCTTAAGATCACCCACGTGAGTTTCAGACCAGAAGGTCTTACACAATCCTGAGATCTTTTGAAAGAGTTATTGTGAGTTAATCACTGGCATTCTTTCTAAAATTCTCCCCTTTTATAATTCAAAAAGAAATGATGTGTGATTGAGGCTAGGGTGTGGGGCAAAAGAAGGACAAGAACATTTGTTGAGTGATGTGTGTTAATCACTTTTTTTTAGGAAGAATTGATACTTAAATGTATAAAGAACAGAGAATGCTATGTTTTGGGTATAAAGAGGGTACCTTATTTCAGTATAACACTTTAGTCCTGATGGAAGCTTTTAGCAGGAACTCTGGTGAAGTATAAAAAAGTCACGGAGCAATGGGAATTATGAAAAACTTTTATACTTGGATTTAGAGGCACCTAACTTTCCTATGCAACTTTTAGAATGACTTTAAAAGATTTCTATCTAGTTTTGTGAATTAGCTCAACAAATTAGAACATATTAATTTCAGCTTAATGCATTTTAAAATATTCATACCTCACTTTTAGTAGGCAGGCATAAGCGTTTGGGGATTAGTCTACCTGTACTGCGGGCACAAGTGATCGGTGGTTCTGAAAATTGTCTCATCTCTGCGAATTCATTTAAATACTGGAGGCTTGTACTTCTGTTTTCCGGGAGCGTAAAAAGATGCACTTGTATGATAAATAATCATAAAGCATGTTGACTGGCTTTGCAGTGCATGAGACACACCAATGCAACGTATTTCCTGTATACGTAGTGTTTTACTATATTCACATCTGTTGAGCAGTCTGAGGGCACAAAAGAGATATGAGTCTTGATTCCCATTGTGCAGGAGCTAACTATACACTTGAGGAAAAGAGCACGTGCAACTGAAAATGCGATGCTGAACGTGGCCCCATGTCACTCAGTGTCAGGTTGTTACCATAGGTGGTAAGTGCTCCAACTAGTGAAAGTAGCAGGGGTGGTAAAGTGCATGCAGGGGAGATCTGTGGAAGGACAGAGGCTGCCGCTGCCCAGAGCGATCACTGGGAAGTGAATAGGAGGAAGGAAGTGTGGGAAAGGTTGGGCGAGGTGGGCATTCCACGTGGGAAATCACTAATGCATGAAACCACTAATGCCTGTGAGTTAGAATTCTGCTGTCGCATATAGATAACAGTCTGATAATCCACGCATTGTCTCATAGCAGGTTGTACACCATAAGTACTCAGGAGCTCCGGCAGGGTACAGTGCAGGTGAATGTGCTGCAGGTGTGCACAAAGTGAAGTAACTATGAAGTCAGTTATTAGCCAGAACACTTAAAAAGTCTGTTTTGCGTTACATTGTATAGTGAGCGGTGTGAAAAGAGTTGAATAGGGTAGAGTTCATGAGCAACTCTGGAGAGGTGAGTCAGGTTGTAGAAGCAGTTACGCAGCATACATACACACTGAAAATACTTTTCTAAACTCACTAGCATGGACTCCCTCGTGAAGGTTCTCAGTTAAAATATCATGAAATGCCTTAAGTCTTAATCTTCATTTAAGTTTTAATTCTTTTTATGTTATGAGCCTGTGATGCTTATCAAAAGTAAATTTTTCCCAGCAAATGAAGAATTTACTAGCACAACTATTAAGCTTTTTTTTTTGGACACTGGGAATCGAACTTAGGACCTTGCGCTTGCCAGGCAGGTGCTGTACCACATCCCCCAGCAAGCTATTAATACTTTAGTGAAAAGTCTTATTGCTTTTTAAAATATCGTATTTTTCAAGGTGATTGACAATTATTAATTAGTTAATTGTTTCTGTGTAAGAGGTATGTAAATATTACCACCATTATGGAATGAGTAGATTGAAAAATCAAAAAATTTAATGACTTTCCTCAACAACGTATTTCTATATTGACTTAGGAAAAATAAGTACTTTATTATTAAACACTTTTTTTAAGATAAGTCATGTCTTTGACTTGAGCAGTTGACCACTTGAGGTGTCTTTTTCTGTCTACTACTGAATTGAAATTTACCCATTCAAAGTGTAAGTCTTGGCCCCCGAAAGTATAGTTGAACTATATGCTTAAACGATTATATGTAATAGAAAACCTCAAACAATAGCTGAGATGAGAAAGAAATTTCTTTCTGTGAATGTAAGTCAGAAATCGAGAGATAAGTATTCCAGAGTAGGTTTCGGGAGTTATATGGCTTCCCAAGGGGTACGGGTTTTTCCTTGGCCCTCTCAGGGCTTACCACAGCAACCCTGTGACTGCGCTGTCAGGTAGGCAAAGGAGGCTATGAGCTGCGAGAGTCTGCCTCACCCTGCCCAGTTTGGGTTAGGAATAGGGAGAGGGTAGAAGGGCGCATAGTCTTTTCCTTGATCTGTTGCCTGTTCCAAGCTTTTCCATAAATAAATTCCATTCACTTGTC